AGCTCTTAACCAACTGAGCCACTCGGCCGGCCCTTACCCACTCATTTTTAATCGAGCTTATTTTCTGTTATTTCTTCTTTTCATCTTCTTTCTTCCACCTATGCTTTAGAACTACTGGTGCTGCCTGGGCACATTGGCTTAAAAAAAAAAACCAAATAAACAAGAAAACAAGGAGTTCCATTCAGGATGGTGGAGTAGATAAATGCTCTGCTTACCAGCTCTCACAACCGCATCAAAATTACAACTAAAATACAGAACAACCATCATTGAGAATTACCTGAAATCTTGCTGAACCAAAGACCTATAACTAAGGGCATACAGAAGAAGCCACCTTGTGAATGGCAGGAGGGGTAGAGACACAGAACTGGCTGGTCTGACACCCTTGTGCAACCATTAAAAATTGGGAGGGATATCTCAGCTGTGGAGGTCCCCTCCCAAAGGAGCAAGGGGTCCCAGCACCACATCAGGATCCCCAACCCAGGTTTCCAGTGCCAGGGAGAGAAGTACCCATAATTTCTCATTGTGAAAACCAGCGGAGATTGTGGCTGAGTGAGATGGAGGGCGGCTGGAGTCCAAGACGCTCTTCTTAAAGAGCCCACACATGGGCTTACATACCAATGGAATCACTGGCTCTGAGCTCTAGCGCTGAGCCAGCAGCTGGAGAGGAGACAGGGACATATGGGGGGAACCGAGTTGTCTGGCATCAGGACAAGGGCTGGAATGACAGCTTTCTCCCAGACAAAGGAGCTGGAAGAAGCCATTCATGCAGATGCAGGCAGACACCATATCCAAATCTCCATCAAAATGGCTGAAACCATTTGTTCACCATGCCCGGGTGATTCTGACACCTCACCCCACCCAACTTTCGGGCACACCCAAGCTGCTTCCAGTGGCTTTTTTGTACAAACTCCCTGCCTTGACTCATGCTGCAGCCTTTCTAGAGTCCCTCAAAGGTTTGTGGAACCCAGACAAGCAGCATCTGGCTTGAGCATGTATCATACCTCAGGCTGAGCAGCCCTAAGCCCAGCACTAGTGGCAGCCAGTCTTGGTTTGTGGCCTGGCCTCTTGAGGCACTTGCAAGCATGATGCAGGTAGTTTCCATCTGCAGATTGCTTTGTGATTCCTGCTGGTGGCCCCAGGTGGGGCAATGGCTACAGCTGAACTTGACCTGCAGTGGGTCCCCTCCCAAGTAGCGCTGGGGATGGTGCATCCAGTGGCCAGCTTTGAAATGAGCTGGAGCATTACTCAGCTGCCTCCAAGGACTACACTCCCAAGGGGCAGATTGGGCAGGCACCAGAGCCCTGCTGAAGCAGATCCTGCTCTGTAGGGTCAGCCCCTGGACCATAACTCCTCCACTGTAGTCATAGCCAGTCCTCACAACCAATGAGCCCAAGGGTCAATCCCTCCCACTGGCATGCAAACAACAACCAAGGTTCAACTACAAGAGGAGGGTGCACACACCCACACAAGTGACACACCAGGAGTGTTTGGCTCAGGTGACTAGGAAGGCTGTGCCTCTGCGTCAAACAGCACACCTACTACATAAGACCACTCTACTAAGACTAGGAGACATAGCAGCTCTACCTAATATATACAAACAAACACAGGGAGACAGTCAAAATGGGGAGACAAAGAAACATGTTCCAAATAAAAAAACAGAATAAAGCTCCAGAAAAAGAACTAAGCAAAATGGAGACAAGCAATCTACCAGACTCAGAGTTCCAAACACTCGTCATAAGGATGCTTGATGATCTCAGGGAGAACTTCAACAAAGAGATAGGAAACAAAAATGGAGATAGAAAATATAAAAAAGAACCAGTCAGAAATGAAGAATACAGTAACAGAAATGAAGACTACATTACAGGAAATTGACAGTAGACTAGATGAAGCAGAGAACTGAATCAGTGATTTAGAACATAAGGTAACAGAAAACACCCAATCAGAACAGCAAAAAAAAAAAAAAAAAAAAAAAAAAAAAAAAAAAAAAAGAATACAAAAAAAAAAAAGGAAAGTTTAAGAGGCCCCTGGGACAACATAAAAAATACCAACATTTGCATTATAGGGGCACCATAAGGAGAAAAGCAAAAGCAAGGAACTAAAAACCTATTTGAAGGAATAATGATGGAAAACTTCCCTAATCTGGTGAAGGAAATAGACATACAAGCCCAGGAAGTGCAGAGAGTCCCAAACAAGATAAACCCAAAGAGGCCAGCACCAAGACATACATAATTAAAATGCCAAAGGTTAAAGACAAAGAGAGAATCCTAAAAGCAGCAAGAGAAAAGCAGTTAGCTATCTACAAAGGAGCTCCCATAAGACTGTCAGCTGATTTCTCAACAGAAACTTTGCAGACCAGAAGGATTGGCGTGAAATATTCAGTGATGAAAAGCAAGGGCCTACAACCAAGATTACTCTCTCAGCAAAGTTATCATTTAGAATCAAAGGACAGATAAAGAGCTTCCCAGACAAGAAAAAGCCAAAGGAGTTCACCACCACCAAACCAGTTTTACAAGGATTCTTAGAAGGACTTCTTTAAGATGAATATATATATATATATATATATATATATATATATATATATATATATATATGTATATATGAATAATAAAATGGGAATAACTAAAAAATGCTCCAATAAAAAAATAGGGTGGCTGAATGGATAATAAAATAAGACCCTTATAGATGTTGCCTATAAGAGACTCATTTCAGATCAAAAGACACCCACAGACTAAAAGTAAAGGGATGGAAAAATATATTTCATGAAAATGGAAACAACAAAAAAACACACAAAAAGCTGGAGTAGCAATGCTTATACCAGACAAAATAAGCTTTAAAACAAAGACTATAACAAGAGACAAAGAAGAGCATAGTAATCCCACTTCTGGGTATTTATCTGAAGAAATGCAAAACATTACTTCAAAGAGACATGCTCATTCATATGTTCATTGAAGAATTATTTACAATAGCCAATGTATGAAGGCAACCTTGGTGTCCCTGAATGGATTAAGAAGAGGTGGTACAGATATACAATGGAATATTACTCAGCCATAAAAAATAATGAAATCTTGCCATCTGAAACAACATGAATGGACCTAGAGGTTATTATGTTGAGTGTAGTAAGTCAGACAGCAAAAGACAAATGTCTTATGATTTCACCTGTCAGTGGAATCTAAAGAACAAAATAAACAAACAAACTCATACATACAGAGAATATTCTGATGGTTGCCAGATGGGAAGGGGGTTGGGAGTGGGTGAAAAAAGGAAAGGGATAAGGAAGTACAAATTTGTTGTCACACAGTAGTCATGGGGATGTAGGATATAGCATAAGGAATATAGTCAATAATATTGTAATAAGTATGTATGGTGTCAGATGGGTGCTAGATCTATCGAGGTGACAGATAGGAAGTGGGTTGGGGACAGGGTGAAAAAGGTGAAGGGATTAAGAAATACAATTTGGCAGTTATAAAATAGTCATGGGGATGTAAAGTAAAACATAGGGAATATAATTAGTAATATGATAATAACTATGTATAGTGCCAGATTGGTACTAGTCAGGGGGATCACTTAGTAAATTATATAAATTTCTAACCACTATGCTGTACACCTGAAATTAATATAAAATAATATTGCATGTCAAAATAAAAAAATAAAGTGCAAAAAACAAAAAAACAAACCCCAAATAACAACAAAACCTGCGATCCTCTTCACAGGTTTACAACGAACTTATTGAAAAATTAAGACCTCAAGACTTTGGATATAATCAGTTAAAATCAGAGTAAAAATATTGCTCACACTAAGGGAAAATAATGATAGATTAATCAAGATGAGTCAACACAACAAAGCAAGAGTAAAACAATTCTATACAGACTGAGAAAGACAAAAACCATATGATCTCACTTATGTGTGGAATCTAAAGAACAGAATAAAAGAGCAAACAAAACAGAAATAGACTCATAGATACAGAGAACGAACATGGTTACCAGGTAAGGGAGGATTTGGGGAGGATGATGAGAAAGGTAAAGGGATTAGGAAATACAAATTGGTAGGCACATAATAGTCACCGGAGTGTGAAATACAATATGGGGAATATAATCAATAATGTTGTAAAGACTATGTAGGGTGTCAGATGGGTACTGGACTTATCGGGAAATCACTTCAAAGATTATATAAATGCCTAGCCACTGTGCTGTACACCTGAAACTGATATAAAATAATATTGAATATTAACTATAATACACACACACACACACACACACACACACACACACAAGTTGGACAATTAAATTTGTGAACTTCCCACCATGCAAACTTAATTGTCCAAGTGTGTGTGTGTGTGTGTGTGTGTGTGTGTGTGTGTGTGTGTGTGTGTGTGTAGTCACGGGATGTAAAGTACAGCACAGGGAATATAGTCAGTGTTACATGGGTAGTAGACTTGGTGGGGTTATCACTTTGTGAGGGGTGTAAATGTCTAGTCATTATGTTGTTTTGTATACCTGAAATTAATTTAAAAAAAAAAGAATACCAGAATAAAAAAAATAATTTTCTATAATTGTATATATTTCCTCATGTTTGTCCTTAGAGTGTGTATATAAATGTATGAGAATATCTGTTTTAGCTTTGGAATTTAGGCCTATTTTCTTATTGGATAAGTCAGAGTTCAGTTTTACATTCACAATTCCTAGTACATAGGCATGCTTAATAAAAATTGCTGAAAGGATGAAGGCATGTTATTTAATAAGGCTTATTTCATCTCAAACTTAGTAAAACCCAAGATATTGGATTCATTTATCATTAATGGTTAGGGCCATTCCTGAATCTAGAGAGAAGGATGGTGTGCAGAGGGGTGAGGAAAATTGTGGGAGAAAAAAAAACTGTCTTAGATAAATGCTGTAATCTGTACTATGACTCTAAAATGCATATGCTGGAAACAATAACTCATAATAAATCATATTTTATTGCCATTTTAACTATAAACTAATGTTAATTACAAAATTACTTGCCATGACATCATATGATTCTCCATTTCTAGATACTTGGCTGTGGCTTTGTATTATTCCTTGAACAATCAATTCCTCCAGGATGTCTGATGACTTTCGTCGTTCTCGATTCTCTAGGGGTTGGGGTTTATAGATTAATCCATTGGTCACTAAGTCTTCCAAGGGAAAAGAAAAAAGAAAGCAAAATTGAAGCATGAAGATTTTAAAAATCAAATGCTAAATGGGTGCCTTATAAATTATGCTACTTAATAAAATCTTACACTTAATACTGTTACCTAGATATCTGTTTCTATCTAAATCTTTGAATCCTTTGACATTCAGATTCTTAATGTAATCTTACAGAGGATACACATCAACATAATATACTGTTTACTTAGCAGGCCCCACATTAACATAACAAAAAGGCTTCATGGCTGCTATGTACTACTTTTTGTTGTAACAACACTCATACACTTGGGTATGACTGTATGGGTTCTCTGCACTAATTATGAAGCTAAAACATAACTAAGAATGAGATATTCTTCCAGTGACTTTTCTGAGTTGCAGTTGGTTTCTATGGTTTGTATACAAAGGATAAACAGTGTGATGTTGCCAAGAGACTTCTAGTTCTGCAACCTTAAGTTTACAATGACACCATCTGCTAAATCTACATAAGTAAAAAGATGCCTTTTTGAAAAGTCTTTGAACCAAAATGGAATCGGAGTCAAGTGATATCAGCTAAATTTTTATTAGTGATTCTAAAAATAGCATTATAACAGTTTATAGGGGAGCCTTTATAAACTGCACTAATGAGAGAGAACCCCCCATTACAAATCACCTAATTGTATAAGTAAATAAGCAAGCACCATTTTTACAACTTCACATTATAAAATAATGATACAATTGGGAGTCTTCAGAAATGAATTATCTCCTATTTTGTAATCATCAGGAAGTCCTGATAGTAACCAAGTCCATTCCATCTAGGGCAGCGGTTCTCAACCTTCCTAATGCCACGACCCCTTAATACAGTTCCTCATGTTGTGGTGATCCCCAACCATAAAATTATTTTCGTTGCTACTCTATAACTGTAATTTTGCGACTGTTATGAATTATAATGTAAATATCTTTTTGTTTTCCGATGGTCTTCGGAGACCCCTGTGAAAGGGTCATTTGACCCTTAAAGGGGTCGCGACCCACAGGTTGAGAACCGCTGATCTAGGGGATGATGTCTTTTTATGAAAATTTCTAATGTGGGACTATATAAGTACTTTATGAATTTCATAACATCTAAAGCAAACATAAACTCTGTAAGAGAGGTATTATTATCCATATTTTATAAATAAATAAACTGATATGAGAGAGGCTAATTAACTTGCTCAGGGTGACAAGGGCAGTAAGTAAATTAACTAGGATTTAAATCTAAGTCGGTTTGCCTTCACCACCTCACTGTACTCTTCCTAAATAAGTCATGTAAATGGCTCCCACTGGTCACAGCCCACTTCTCTCTCAGAATGTCTCTAAAAAGAATGTCATTGTGGACTTCTGTCACTAACATAATACAATTATCTTAGCCACTTCAATCCAATCTTTTCTGAGTCCACTTAAGTATTTGGCCTGACATTTACAGCAGCTAACCTATACAGAAATCCCTGGACTATGTCAGTCATTTTGACTAATTTTCATGATTTCTTGGGTCATTGAAGAATATTGGGGAAATGTTTAAAAATAACATTGTTCTTTTTTCTAATTATAAAAGTGATGTATCATAAACTTGAAAATTTAGAAAAAAATCAAAAAATAAAAATGCCCATTCCCTTACCATTCAGAGACCACCATTGTTAACATATAAAATTTAATTTTTAGAAATTTGCCATCACACTGAGCATACAGTTTTGTTTCCTATGTAGAAAAAACATTTACATTAGCATTTTATCATGCCATTAGAAACTCTTCAAAAGGATAAGTACAAAAAGTGAAGTCATACAAGAAAACATGGCTGAATTCATCTTTAACCGTGGTATAAAGACTTTCTAACTGACTCAAAATCCAAATTCAATAAAGAAAAACCTGATAAATTTTAGTACATTAAAAAAAAATTTGCAAGGCCAAAAAACCCCACAATAAAAATCAAATACAGATATCCTCTACATACTGAGTTGATGTACTAAGCAGGATACAATGAAATTTTTGGTATTCTTGCTGAAAATGCATAACATGGACCTAATCATGAGGAAATCTCAGACAAATCCAAACTGAGGAACAGTCTACAAAATAAATGGCCTATATCTCCAAATATATCAAGTTTGTAAAAGACAAACAAAAGCCAAGAGATTTCTCCAGGTTAAAGGAGATTGAAACCACATGACAACTAAATTAAATGTGTGATCCTAGATTAGCTCTTGAACCAGAAATTTATCTATCAAGACCATTTGTTAGACAACTGAAAAATTTGAAATGGTCTATAGATGAGAAAATAGTAGTGCATCAATGATAATTTCCTAATTCAGATCTCTGTACTGGGATTTTGTGAAAAATGTCCTGGTTTTTAGGAGATACATATTGGTGTATTTAGGAGTAAAGTATCATTATGTCTGTAACTTACTCTCAGAAAAAATATACTTGCATATGAGAAGGAGAGAGAGGAGGGATGGAGGAAAGGGGCACTATCAAAATACAAATGTGGTACAACGTTAACATTTGGGGAATTTGGGTGAAAGAATATAGGCATTCTTTATTTTTTGCAAATTTTCTTCAATCTGATATTATTCAAAATAAGAAATTTTTGGGCCGGCCGAGTGGCTCAGTTGGTTGACTTGGCTTGGGAGCAAGAGCTCTGAGCAGCAGGGTCACCGGTTCGGTTCCCACATGGGCCAGTGATGCTGCATCCTCTACAGCTAAGATTGTGAACAACAGCTCGACCTGGAGCTGGGCTGCCGTGAGTGGCTGGCGATGGCGTAGGCTGCAGCCCCTGCTGCAGTTGGCTGCCGTGAGCTACCGTGAGCTACCGTGAGCAGCCGGCAGCCGGTGTGAGCAGCCAGTGAGAGCTGCCGTGAGCCGCTGTGAGCCACCATGAGCGGCTGTCCTATGGCCAGCGACCGACTGCCTCAGCCAGGAAGAGCACAATGATGATAATACCAACATGGGCCAGTGAAGTGGTGTCCTCCACAACTAGACTGAAGAACAAAAAGGACAGCAACTTGTCTGTTCCCCTTCCCCGATTCCCCAATGAAATCTTTAAAGAAAAAAAAAAAGAAATTTTTTTTCAAAAAGAAATACTTGGGAAATGTTAGTGCAAAACTTGAAGTTTTTAACAAATATACTCTGTATCTGCGAAGAGCAGGGATACAGAAAGGAGATGGGAAATTGGGCAGAGAAAAACATACAAAGCTCAGGGCACTAGATCTTACTCATTCTGTGGTAAGGTCTTTCTTGAACACTAACTTCCACATTTTAGAACACCTGCTTTGGTAGTTCACTCCCACCCCAAGCTGGTGACTCCTAGCACTCTCCTGCTTACCTGTGGTCCCCTCCATACAGCTTTCAACAGTGTAGGGCTGACAAGGTACACCCGGGTCCCTGTCCACCCAACAAGCTGTAGTCTGTTAACACCACAGGTACTGGGCATTTTGTGGTCTAGGAGGGATTCCCATCAACAGAAATATCAGAGAGAAAAAAATATATGTGCTGGCCCAACGCACAGAGAGGGAGGGGCCACCCCTGTGCTTTATCCTCTGCCTCATACCCCATTCTCAGTCATGTCACCCCAAATCAGAAGCATGAGGGCAAATGTGAAATTTGTGATAACCTGAGTGTGCACCAAAGTCCAAGGAAAAGAATCTCACTTATAACCTATTTTCCAATTCTAACTTGTACCTAGGGATGAATCTACAGCGATGAAGAATGAAATGAAAGTCTTTCCCCAAATAAAACAGAGTACTTTTCCTTAAGTTCTGTTAAGTACAATTTGTTTCAAAGGCTGATAAAATATAAATAAGAGCTCTTACATCAACCCCAGGGGGTAACTCCAGTAAAGCAAAAACACACCACAAGAAAAATATTTAGAAACAAAATAGTTTCAAAGGACACACTAGGTCATAATTACTTCTTTTGTGTTTTTCAAAGATTCTTTCATTGTATATTTGCTGATACTTTGGTTCGGGAGAAATAGGGAAAACAGTTTGATGAAGGTTTTATTTATTTTTCAAACGTAGAAATTTCCCTTGGAAAAAAGTTAACATTGTGGGAGTTTAAAGGAATTTCACCAAAGCTTATGCAACTCCTATTCCCAACCACCAATAAGTCTCTTAGTCAAGGGGGGAAAAAAGATGGTGTAATTATTTCATTGACAAGAAGATTAATGGTTAGCATTATTTACTCGCATAATAAAAGCCTAAGGCTAAATTCTAATGTCTTAGAGATAGGGACCTTGCCGTTTAGAGCACTCCCTGGCCCATAAAGCTATGATAGTGTCACCAGACACACATTATGAAATACATTTAGAGAAACAGTATTTTATGGAGATCAACACGAGTGGGGGCTTTTACCTGAATTTATTCTTATGTTTCTTTGGTTAGGAGATGGGGAACTTTCTGGAATGATTCCAGGCAAGCTTTCCAACTGGACTTGTTTTTCCAGGCCTTCGGGGTTCCCCACACTGTTCTGGATCAGCGCGGCTTCAATCTGCAGTCTGCAATTCTCCCCAGAATGAGTCACAACAACATCAGCCTGTGAAGAGGGAATGACTTTGTGAGAGTCAAGAGTTCCTAGAAAATGGTTTCTTAGAAAATGAAAACAATGTCATAAGATCTGCGTTGTGAAGATTCAGCCAACTAGTATCTGTGGTAGGCTGAAGAGTACCTAGTGACCTATAGATGTTACCCTATCTGGCAAAAGGGACGTTGCAGGTGTGATTCAATTAAACACCTTGCCACAGCAAGATTCTCCTAGATTGTCCAGGTGGGCCTAAATTAATCACAAGTGTCCCTGTAAGTGTCCCTCTGGGAGGCAGAGGGAGATTTGACCTCAGAGGAGGAGAAGGTGATGTGACAATGGAAGCAGAGATACATTTGAAGATGCCACAGTCCTGACAGTGAAGATGCCAGATGGGCCACTAGCCAAGGAGTGTAAGGAATGCAGTTGTAGAAGCTGGAAAAGGTCAGGAAAAGGAGTCCCTCCTCAGAGCCTCTGAAAGGAACCAGCGCGGCCGACATCTTGACTTGAACCAGGTGGAACTGATTTTGTACTTCTGACCTCCAGTACTGTAAGAGAATAACATTATATTGTTTTAAGCTACTAAATTTCTGTTAATTTGTTATAGCAGCAATAGAAAACTTACACACAACACGGGTGTGAGCTGCGTGGATCCACTTATACACAACGTTTTGTTTTTTTTTTCCATAAATACCGTCTGCTTTCTGTATCCACAGGTTTCACATCTGAGGATGACCATTTTATATAAGGAACTTGAGTGTTCTCTGATTCTAGTACCTGCAGGGAGGATGGCATGGGGTGCTGGAACCAACCCCACGTGGATACTAAGGGATGAATGACTGTAATTAAGTTTGGGGGGAGTCAAAAATTATATGTGGATTTTTAACTGTGGGGGGTTGGTACCCCTAACCCTCTGTGTTGTTCAAGGGTCAACTGTAATATCTAATATGAATAATCAGATACAAGCTACTATGCTGAGCATTCTGAAGGATACCAAAATGAGCAAGTTCATAATCATCAAATGTGAAAAGTAAAGATACCACTGTGTGAAAAATGCTTTTTAGATGAAACTATCTTCATTGTTTTTGATGATTAGAAAAGTAATCAGACTCATAAAAATAAATAATATTTAATCATGGAACGTGATCATTTATTTGATGATCCCTTATGTAACTAAACCACAATTTATTTAACCAAATGCTACTGAAGCACATCTAGGTTATTTCTAACTTGTCAATAAAATAAACAGTGCTGGCATAATATCTGTGCATATATGTCAGTCTGAATTCACCCAATCATCCCTTGAGGATAGATTTCTAGATGCAGACATGCTGGATATGCACATTTTATATTAATTTGTATTTCCAGAGGGCCCTCCAAAAATCCTGCACTGCCTTACAGTCCCACTTCTCCTTTTAAGGATGTCTATCCCTCCACATCACAGTTCTACTGCTTGTAAATAGGTCAAAGCTATTGTAAAAAGGGCTTGTAAAAAGGGCTTGCATGTGATTTAGTAACCGCTAAGCCCAAAATGCTGTTACAGGCCAAATGTTTCATAGTTCTACAGCAAAAAAAGAAAAATAAGAAAAATGTAATGAGTTTTTCATAAAACTAAATTTGATTTAAATAACTGGCATTTATTTTAAGAGAAAGTGTATTTTAAATACTAATACATTCAGGAAAACTATTCTCACATATCCCTAACTACCATGTCCCCTCTCTCCCAGTGTTGGCTCTTCTTTCATTACTTGGTTTGCAGCTTTTCCACTTCTCATTCAATGGAAGCTTCTAGTAGATGTTATTAGCCAACCTCTTCTCTATCTAACGTGCACATACCAAAGGAAGTCTCTTCAGTGTCCCCAGAAGAAATATGAACATAAGCATCTTCTACAGAACGCTGTACTCTGGCTAGTCTTCTTTTGTCTATTGATTTTACATTTTTGGCCCAAGGGGTTCTCTTCTTCTCCTTGAGCCTTTGAAGGGCCTCAGAATACTGCCCTTCAACTCCCACCCTTTGTAGCACAGTCCTGTTATACTGATACAAGGTTGTATCTTGTTGGGTGTAGCAAAAGCTGTTAAAGAGGAGAAGACGCTTGAATTGGGTCTTGATGAGTGAGTTTCCAGTGAGCAAGGAGGAAAGGTCATTCTAGACAGAAAAGAAAGCACACACAAGTGAAACAATATTGTGTGTGTGTCCATGAACTTGAATTATTCCAGTGTATTAAAAACAGACTGAGGTAGAATGTGGTAGGCGCTGAAGTGGGGTTTTGAAAACAAGTTTGATTTTATTTTGAATGCAACAGTAATCCTATGTAGGCCTTTCATACATGGGAGTAAAATAAAATGATCAGGTGCGGATTTTAGAAAGATCACTCTTGAGGTAGTGCAATGGCAGGAACGGAAGGAAGGAAGGGACAGAACAGGGCAGCCAGTTACGATTATTATTGTCCAGGTGAGATTTGATTAAACATGAACTAGGGTAGTGGCAGTGAAAATGGGGAAAAGAGGTGGGCCCAGAAATATTAGAAAGGTAGGTAACAGACCTCACAGCGCTTCAGTTTGAAGGAGGAAGTTCCCTTCTGGCTCTAAATTAGGATTCTAGGCACTAAACAGAAAACATTCCCTTTAGGAAAACTGGATAAAAAGTAGGATACTGGCATGAAACTCTTGATATTTTTACAGTAAAAATCAGACCAACTTTAAAAACCTAAGGACATTTGACCACTTTCTGGAAGCACACCCACATTTAAAATCCCTCAGAGCCAAAGTAGAAATCACAATTGCTAAATTATGATGGCCCCCATCACCCTTAGGTTCTCATAGTTCAATGAGGGATTCTCGCGTGTTTGTAGGGAGACTCACATAGCTCCTTATCACCGTGTTTACATAACATGATCACTCCAGCTAAATCAACATCAATAGTTTGTTGTGTTGAGGCTTAATTAGTTCTGTGGCTCAGAACTACATGGGAAAATAGGAAAAATCAACCAACTGAACAAACAAAGTATGCAAACAAAAACTCAACGGATCTGAAATATGAATCGGCACACCAAGGAGAAAGCCTGAGAGCAACTATATGCTTTTCTCCTTCTCTCCATCTGTCTTTCTTCATAGACACAGTGACGGCTGAGCAGTCCCTGTAGAGTAAGCCGACAGATAACATATGTTACTATATTATTATGGGATACTAATCATTCTATCAGACAGGGTCTCCTTTTCCTTTGTTATATGTAACATGTATATGTTTGTTTTGTTTTGTTGTCGTTACATATAACAAAGGAAAAAGAGAGCCTATTAGATGCTTATCTTTCAGGGACTCACAGTTCATGTTGAAGTTAAAGATCACGTTGGGCATTCTTTCCCTTATTTTGAAATAAAAGTCTCAAAAATCAATATCTGCAGTGACAGATATTTTCACAAGTTCATTTTGTTTTGCAGATCTTTTTTTGAACTCAGCGAAGCACTAACACACAGGGACTAATTTTGCTGATTTAACAACAACAAAAACAATAAATGAAATGCCCACATTGGCGCTAAGAGCAAATTTGAATGTGTTCTAAAGGATGTCTTTTCACAAACGTATTACAAGTCTGAATAGATTTAAAGGCCACAGCCCTGAGTGACCTCCCAGTTGTTTCATCAAAGTGACTAATCCAGGTCCTTACCACAGAGCTTTACCCATTTGTGCTTATTTAGATACAATCTGCCTTCAAGTTCTGTTAGTGACCAAAACTTAAATTGTAGCAGATGAAACACAATCTTGCAGCATAAAATAACATATACCAGCCTTCGGTTTCAAGAACAGAAATGTAAGGTTTTTCTCTTTTGAAAGCTAAATATGTCTTTTAAATAGCTTATCTACATGCAACACATTCTGGAAATTGTAACCCAATTGCATAATCTAGACTCGGAATAAACATAGTTCAAAGACCAGAGGTATTTACAAATTAATTAGATCCATGCCTCTCAGGGATATGTCAAAACAGATTTCTTGTGCTGTCTGTGCATGCAGAGTTTATATTTTTATACCAATGAGAAGCCTATCTGCTTGGGGCTGGCCGAGGGGTGGGGAGGTGGGTGGACGTTTTTGTTTTTTTTTTTCTTTTTCTTTTTTTCTTGAGATGAAGTTGTAGCAGAAGCACAGATTGAATGTGTTTCTACATTTTGAATAATTTTATTTTATACTTCATTGTCTTGGTGCTAAAATGTTACTAGTTTTAGACAAAATTGGAAAGCTGTGAATTCCAAGCTAACAGCTATGCATGGGAATCATCAGCATTCCATAAAAAGGTATTGAATTTAACTATAGACAGCGTTTTGTTTGGTTGGTTTGGTTTGGTCTGGAAGCATTTTATGTGTTCTGAAGCTTTGGGAAAACAAAATTTCCAAACAGTTTGGAGAGAGTCATTCTTTAAGGCTCCCTGGAGCTTAAACCTTCTTAAATCAAATTATTGGCAGATACATTTTATAAATGTATTTGTCCATAGCCATATAGGAAGAATTTGTTCTTTAAAATTTAATTTTTTTCTGGTTTATTTCTAATAAGTGAAATAATACAGAGCAATCCTCAAAAAAAAAACCCAACAGTCAGAAATATGCTTTTTTAAAAAATTGGACTTTAAGAAGTATTTAGTCCCTTTAATGGACAATAAACAGGAATTTTTCTGGTCAAATATTAGGGGGAAACTGGTGAAGGATCCTTGGAGTTCATCTATTTCAATTAGCCTGCCCCCTTTTATAACAAGCAAAAAACTTTGAATTAATCATATATAAGATTTCTCCAATGAAAAAAAGTTTCCCACAGTTTATTATTATGCATTATTTTATTGTAGTTATTTCTTGCCACTCGTGACTCAGGTAAAGTGAAGAGAAAGTCTGCAGACAGTTGTGCCACCAAGCAACATAATAAATATTTCATACAAGCAAACATGTTCATCTTATTTTAAAGGTGCTGCTGAACTACTGAACTCTCAGCTCTATGCGTTTATGAAGGTAGAGAAAGCAGTACTGTTCTGATAGCTAGAGAGTATTTAATTAATAATCATACCTTTCCCAGATCAGATTTCCAAAGTCAAGTGCTTGGGGTGGAGAAAGAGAAGTGTATTCGTGAGTTGACTCTGAGTTTATTTTCAGGTTATTTTAACATGATATTTCCTCCTTGTTGATTGTCATTAGTCTAGTTATGCTACTAGGAGACAGGCAGACACTAAGGAATGGGAGGAACTGACAGGGACACGCAGTCACTCAAAAAATTTTCATTAGTGCCTGGTCTGCATCATGCACTGTAATACGCACTAGAGACACAAAGATAAGCATAGTCCCGTCCTCAAGAAGGTAATAGCTCAGGATGGGAGGTAAATATGGAAACAAACAAATACAACAAAATGTTTTGAGACATGATAGGAGAAGGCGCAAGGTCAGCTCTGCCAGCATGGTGACAGAGGAAGTGGAGAAGAACGGTCTTGAGTCGACTTGAAAGACAGGTATATATTTGCATGTGGCATAGGAACACGGAGAAGGAAACGTTTTAAAGGAGAGGAAACAGTGGGGGCAAAGGCATGGAGGCAGAAACAGAATGAGTTTGGAAACAAGGAGCAGCAAGGTGTGACTAGAATATGAGTGTGGGAGAGATGAAACTGGAGAATTTGAAAGGAGTCAGCGGGAGGATGGCTAGGACGGCATGCTAAGGATTTAGGATTTGATCTTATGTAAATAATAATAATAATAATAAAAATAATAATAAATAATAACTAACATTAAGCACTTATTTTGTGACAGGACTTTGTATAAGTACTTTACACGAATTGAATTCATTTATTTCTCACAATTCTATAAAATCATTATTATTAATTAACCTCACTTTACAGATAAAGAAACTAAGGCACAGAGAGGTCAAATAACTTGAGCAAAGTCATACAACTAATAAGTAGTAGATCCACAAATCCAACCTAGGTCATCTCATTTTTGACCACTGGTTTATGTGCCAACCTAATTGGCTGGCAGCCTTTTTTCAGCAGAGGACAACAAATCAGATTGTATTTTTAAATGACTCTGGAGGTCATGTGGATGGTTGGAGCTGAAGGGCAGGTGAGGGTGGGTAGTGGGGGAAGGATACAGGGAGACCAGTTCAGAGATTGTTCAAAAATCCAAATGAGAGGCAAAGGCTGTCTCATCTGGGAAATTCAGGAGAAAACCCAGAAACCCTCCCAGGCCTTGGGGAGGTTTGGCCCAGACAGACCTAGTATATGTTGACACTTGGAGAGCTTACTTTTTAGCATGGCTCTGGCTCTATACAACAAAATTGTTTTCCGTAGTAACCATGAAATGAAACAAATGACAATGGCCAGAGAAGAAACACAAATAGTGAAAAAATTTTCTATTGAACTCTTATATGTAATCACACCAGTAAAATAAAAAATAAAATAAAATAAAGATATTTGTACAAAAAAGGAAAAGACCAATGGGTTAACACTTTAAATTACATTAATACATTATTATTATTTTTTTTGAAAAAGAGAGAAGAAAGTGTTCTCTTATGTAGGATTATATTCCAAAGCAATAATGAGTAGTAACTAAGATGACCAAATTGTTCCGAAGAAGCTCATAAATCTAAGAGGGAGAAGTTTTAAGCAAACATTTACCACGTGATAAGGGAGCATCACAGAGGTGATGTTTGGGCTCAGTACTGAAGGATAAATAGGAGGTCATCAAGCAAACCAGGAATGGGGCCAGGGAAGGGCATTCCAGGAAGAAGGAACGGCACGGGGAAAAACATGCAGCGTGATGAGGCCTGGAAGAAGTGAGCACTGCAAGTTCTTGGACCTGAGAGTTCACGAGTGAGAGGAATTGGAGAGGAGAGGGTGACATTAGAGAGACTGGTGCGACCAAATGTCAAGGGTTTTGCACACTCCATGGATTTTTTTTTTTCTTAGGCAGATAGGTGGTAGTGTGGAAGGTAGACTGGTTAAGGTGCTGACAGGAGATGCAGAAAGACCCAGGAAGGGGAAATAGGGCCATAAACAAAGAGACGGTGGCAGTGGGGATGGAAAGCAGATCTTTTCTGCTGGCCTGCCCCAGGGCGGCAGGTACTAAGCCTGAGTATCAGCCTTTACTAAACCCAGGTTTGGTTTTTGACTCCAAGGGCCCAGCAGATGTGCCTCACACAGAGTAGGTGTCACTGGCACTGAGCAGTGTCTTGCACACTGCCCGCTGAGAGAAAGTGTGTGTTCTTTAAACTGGAGTTCCAAAAACGCACTTTAGAAAGGGTGACCATAAATCCTGGTCTGCGGCAGACAGTATGGGCTTAAATCAGACTGTCTGGGCAAATTTAATAATAGTGTTCTCTTTCACTCTTAAAAGCATCCTGCTTTTGATGATAAATTATCCAGTAACATGATCTTTGGGTAACCCCTCTGGAAGAGACTCTTGTGGTTTCCTAGTTCTATTTGTGGACTCTTGATGGTGATGAGGCTGGGAAGACATCACGGACCTCATTTCTGCCTGGACCAACCCTTCCCTCCATGCCCCACCCTGGAAAAAATTCCCCTTCATGCATCCAAAAGAATTAAGGGGGATTTAATCTTGAAGGAGAGTGGAAAGAGTACTGGAATGAGACCCTTGAAGACTGGATTCTATCTCCAGCTCTCCAAACAAGCTGTGCAGCCTTGGGCAAGTCGTCCACTTCTCTGGGCATCAGGATCCTCATGTGGGGAGCGAGAGGACTCAGCCAGATGATTTCTAAGCTCTCTTCCAGCTCTAAGTAATTCTCAAAGGGCTCACTCTCTGGAAGCCAATAGTATACGGCGGCTCCCAGGTGCTCCCACCTGCCCCTGGGAACCCCTGCCAACCCCAGCTCTGTGCAGAGCGCACCACTCATCCGCTTATCCCTGCCTCTGCCCTGGGGTGTGACCACCTTCACTAGCTTTTGAAAAACAAAAGACTCTCCAAGCAAGTCCTATAGCAGCAGGAATCCCGGTTAAGACAGCAGTTAAACACCGGCTGAATGAAGTTGCTACCCACCTGCCCACCCCACTGCCCACCCACTCTGACCCCCCGCAGAGCCTGCTCCAGCCCACTCCATCTTCCCGCAAGAGTGGCAAGGGCTTTATGCCTGTTTTGTCTGTTTTACCTTGAGTCCCTCTTCCCAGCCCTTCCTGGGCGCGCGGACACATCTCTGCTCCTCAGCCCGCTGGGAAGGCCCGCATCCCATGCTGCGCGCCGCGCGCTCCTCCGGCGGGACACGGATGTCTGCCCCCGCGCGCTCCCTGAAGCGCCCCTGCACCCTAGCACCCCGCGCCCTGCGCCCGGGTCTCTGCGCCCCAGCGCCTCCGCCTCTCCCACCTCCAGCACTTAAAAGGCGCGTCGTTAAGCTCTCCGCACCTAGGCGGTTGCCGGGAGCTGTTGCCATAATAAACCTAATCACGCGAACCTAGGAGCCAGGCAACTAACTATGGGACTTTTCGCAACCGAAAACTGGAAGATCGGAGGCGTCTAAATCATAACTGGGATGCAAATTGCAACCCTCGCCAGAGCGAATTGAGGGGACGACCCGCTGCTGGTCAAGTCAGTTTTTAAAGTACCGTAGTCGTAAGCATCCTGCGGGGACCTCTTATTTTTTCCTTCCTAAAGCACCGTGGAACACGCCCCCACCCCCGGTGCCTGGGCCGCGCACTCATTGGTGGCTTTTGTGCCTCAGACTCTGTGGGGACTGTGAAGACAATTGATTGTGAGGAAGGCGACCTAGGAGTCCAATGGGCGGAAGCAGCTCTTGAGGACAGGTGAGCAGAGGAAATAGCCCGAACAGCAGCAGACAACAGTGTCACAGGGTGGCCTTCGGAGAGGACAGTCACATAAACAGAAATCTAGACATTTAGGATTATAAATAGCTCGGCAGCCGCAAAATGGGTCATGAAAATCATTTTTATGGAAGATGCATTTTATGAGCTGTTAGGAAAAATTATGGATATGCGTATTTCTCTCAGAATTAAATTAAAACGGTGTAATCCATCAGAAAAGGCAGACAAACAATACGGACTGCTCAAATGAGCATCAAATTATTCTTTCCTGGATTTTTTCTTTGTATTCTAATTTCAATTAGTTTTTATTTTCGATAACTAAAAGAAAGGATCTGAAAGGGATTTTATTTTTAGTTTATTATTTATTTTTTAATAGTCTCGATTCTTTTTTTTTTTTTTTTTCCTGTATAACATTATGTGATGGCCACAGCTGGAGCCTGGGTCCTCTGTACAGAAACTCTGGTGTGGATCCTTACAAGATAGTCAGTGAATTTCTAATAGGGAGACTTGGTGAACACAGTCTCTCCACTAACACCTTATTGAACTGGCTGCAAACTTAGGCTCAGAGAGATTTAGTGATTTAAGTGGATAAGGGGAGGGGGTAAGGAGCGGACTAATTAATGAGGGACCTGGGATGAGGAACCAGAAGGCCTGACTCAGTCCCTCCACTTCTCCATACACCAGGAAAATATTAGTAAGGATTCTTGGAAATGTAAAACTGTTGGATCCTTTTAAGGAAATTAATGGTCAGCTATGCTTATAAGAGGCTGATTATTTACTTTATAGCATTTAAACTCATTTCATTCTCCCTCCTTACTGCTTCGATGATGTTGCCTGTCCATTTTCCTTTTACTAAAATTGAAAAGGAAAGATGAGAGGAAACTGAAGTCAAAGTATTGTAATTGTTGAGCAACAGACATTAAAATTTTGTGATGAGTCGAAACAAGGCTAAATGGTGTTTGGGGAACATCTCTGAAAATATTGAATCGTGGTGTAATAAGTCACATGAAATGTTCCAACTGGAAACTGGAAAATTCTTAATTAGAATAATCCAATACAGAGAACACCTATAAAATGTTCTTGAGAAAGTTTAATGAAAGTTTGTAGGATAAGCTGTACAAGTAAAATACTGCAGACAACTATTTTCCTCCTTTTTCAAGGCAATTTGCAAACAGAGGTTTTCTGGGACATCCATGTGAATGGATGGGATGGTACCCAAATGTGTCTGTCATGCAGGTATCTTCTGAAGAGCATCCTATGACTATAGTCCAAAGTCATGAAAAATGCCTTTTTCTATGGATGGACTAGGGCCTGCTCATAACTGCCTCATAAAAGCTGATTGTCAGGAATATTTGGACCTGGTCATTAAACAGCCGTTATTAAAATCTGGATTATATAAATTTAACAATTAAATTAGTCCTATTCAACACAAAGGTAACAAATACAACTCATCAGTTCCTAATTATTTTATTATAATTTACTATTATTAAGTTTTTGAGTTTATTTACATTTGTTGTATCTATATGGTGGAGCTATCATATAATGGTGCACTACCGTGTATCTTTTCCCAAGTTCATGTTCTGTGACAATCACATTTGTAGTTTGAAATCAGCCAAGGTGGGAATATATGCACCATGAAAATCAATAAATGCTACAACTCAGGACTTTCTTTACTCCCCGCTACCAGCTGGTTATTAAACATCTACCAGAAACCACTGCCCTTTCCCTTATATTCCAGAATGCCAAGGAATAGCTCTTTTCCGTTCACCCTTCTCTGCAGACCTCTGTCTGCATTGAAGTGGCCACCGTCACCCCAGTCCTCACCACAGAATGAATGTGTATCATTTCCACGTGTCTCTCCACACTGGAGCTGGAGCGTTGTACCAAGACTATGTGTTCGGGGTCCTTAACCAGCGTGCTCTGGTCTTGGGTAACCTGTGTTCACCTTGCAGACTGCTAGAAGGGGAAACACTTGGACTACCACCAAAGCAGCGCCATCACTTGCTCATTTTAAAGTTTGACTGCTGTCCTTGATTATTGTTTTCAGTTTGGAATAATCTCCAGAAGCTTAATTCTCTGCTTCCCTCTTGTATATTTATTTAAGCCTGAGGTTTGTCTTGAGCTTTTTTCTGTGGAGTGATAAGGATATTGTAAAGAAAGGTGCCTCCCAAACTTTAACGACAATGCCCTCGGGATCTCGTTAAAATGCAGATCCTGATTCAGTAGGTTTGGGGCAGGGCCCTAAATATCACCTTTCTAAAAAGTTCCCATTACTGTTGGTAGAGGATCACACTTAGCGTAGGAAGGGTATAGAAGACATGTGAATATTAAATCATTACTTAAAAACATCATTACGGTAAGTCCCCAACTTATGAACATTCGAGTTGTGAACAAATCGCGGAAGTAGCTCATGTGTCTGCTGGACATTGTCACAGTTGTGCTGCTGTGTGCTTACTGTACAGTGCGATAGTGTACAGTAGTACAGTGCTCAATCAGAGCCCAGGATGGATCTTTGTGTGTGTGTTTAGTTTTTTATGTTTTACATTGTATAATTTGTGTCAAAGGTGTATAAGACTCACTTTGTTGAACTTACGAAGGGATCCGACTTACAAACATTCTCCCAGAACAGAACTTGTTCATAAATCGGGGACTTAGTGTATTTCAAAAATCATTGCTTCAAGAAAGGAAAAAGGAAATATGGAAGGAAGGAGAAAGAAATGAGGAGGAGGGGCCAGCCGAGTGGCTCAGTTGGTTAAGAGCTCGAGCTCTGAGCAACAGGGTTGCAGGTTTGATTCCCACATGGGACAGTGAGCTGTGCCCAAGCTGAGCTGCCACCAAGCTGCCAACAGGTGGCAGGATGGCTCTGTGGTTAGAGTGTGCGCTCTTAGCCACAAGGTTGCCGGTTCGACTCCTGCATGGGATGGTGGGCTATGCCCACCCACAACTAAGATTGAACACGTCACCTTGAGTTGAGCAGCTGCAAGCTGCCAATGGGCGGCCGGATGGTGACTGGACTTGGAGCTGAGCTATTTGCGCCCTTCACAACTAAGACTGAAGGACAACAACTTGGATGTTTTCCTTCCCCATTTCCCCAACACTGTTCCCCTTCCCCAATTCCCCAATAAAATCTTTTTAAAAGAAAGAAGTTATGAGGAAAATGATGGGGAAGAATTAAAGTCTATTGGACAATCAAGTACAGAGGAAAAGAAACACTGGCTTCATTTTATCAAGGTATTCCCAGTCTAAGAAGCACCTCCACGCATAAAATTGCAACTGAGAGCCTAAGTGTCACACCAATTTCCTGTCCCTCTACCCTGGTGGAGAAAGGATCTTTGTGAGTTAGTGGGTCAGGGTGAAGAAGAAAAGAAAACCCTTTCTTGCCATTACCCAAGCTCTGGAATCACTTTCCCCTTCTTCTCTGTGTTCTGACACAGAGTTACCCTTCTCAGGATGGCAGGTAAACTAGAGAGCAGAGATGTCTCCCAGCAGCACTGGCAGTAGTAAATCAGGGCAGGGTCGGTACCACGCAGCTGAAGGGTTTCAAACTTCACACTGAAACCTTTCCGATTTCATTTCAAACCCTGAGCTTTTCTAGGAAAAGGGAAGTCACACAAAGAAATCAGTTCTGAACCCAACACCAAATCCACTGAGCTTACTAGCATTCTTCCTATGAATAGAAACATTATACGTGGATCTTTATTCCCAAACATGTCCCAACTGACTAATTATTACAGTAACAGCTGACATTTTTGATGCTTGCTTATGTTTAGGTAAATGAGGGAAGCTGATGGCCATGTTGTTATTTTTATTTTATCAGTCAATTATTGGCTTAAAGCAAGGATTGGAAAACTATGGCCCACAGGCCAAATCCAGCCCACTGACACATGAGTTAAGAATGGATTATATGTTTTTAAACAACTGAAAAAAAGGAAAAAAAGAGAAAATTATTTAATGATTCATGACAATGATATGAAATTCAAATGTCAGTGTCCATAAATAAAATTTTATTGGAACAAAGATATTCATTTGTTTACACATTATCTATGGCTGCTTTTGTGTGACAAGAGACCATATGGCCTGCTGAGCCAAAAATATTTATTATCTAGCCTTTTACAAAAAATGTTTGCTGATCTCTGATTTAAAATGATAAAGTAATTCCCACAAGGGTATTAAATAACTGTGGAATCCTAATGGGCTGAAAGAGTCTGTACTGCTTCCAGAAGGGCAAAAAATCTCCTAGGGAATAGCTGCCACACAGGGGGAATTTATCTCATTAACTAACTGAACTCCCAGGCTAGTAAAACACTTTAAGTGGCTTCATTCAGCTGCTAAAACCCTCCCATGCTTTGCTGGAGCACCCTGTTCAACAGGAGGGTTGTGGAGTGGGGAACAAAACCTCACTGTGCTGCTCTGCTGTTTTGCATCCTCAGACGTAGTGCAGGGAGCATTGGAGCTTCTGGAGAAAGAAAAGAGAGGGCCAGATTGCAAGAAACGGGTGGCATTTCAAGTGTCATCTTGAATTTAAAGACCTAATTTTAAAACCCCATATTGTTCTGGTTCTTCATGTCCCTTTGTCAGACACTTCAGCCCAAACATTGTATTTCTGGAAAACAGTCCTCTCCTTCATACACACATTGAGTGGCTCAGATGTGAGTGGCCTCTGAAGTTTTTATCATTGGAATCCGCTGGGGCCGGTTGCCTCAGTAACAGTACCAAGCAAATTTAGAAAGCTCATAAATCTGTCTATAAACAGTTGTGGGATAAAGAAAACTACTGTAAGTGAAGGAAAACTGTCCCAGAATATTGTCATAAAAAAACAACAACCACACAGCATATT